GTCTAATACTAGGAGGCACTTAAGGTCCAATATATTTTCCAGGAGGTAATTTTTCACAGTGGGGGCAAATGCATGGTGTAACCAGTCATAGAAAAGGTCTCTAGTGACCCATGCCTTACTGTTTGCCCTCCACATCACACACAAATTAGCCTTGAGGACATTGTTTTTCCTGAACACTCGGGGAGTTTGAGTGATACACCATAAAGGCTTCACTTTGCAATCACCACTAGCATTAGCACACATCAACAGAGTAAGCCTGTCTTTCACAGGCTTATGTCCTGGGAGTGCCTTTTCCTCCTGAGTAATGTAGGTCCTGTTTGGCATTTTCTTCCAAAACAGGCCTGTTTCGTCACAATTAAACACTTGTTCAGGTTTCAATTCTTCACTATCTATGTACTCCTTGAATTCCTTCACATATTTTTCAGCTGCTTTTTGGTCCGAACTGGCAGCCTCACCATGCCTTATCACACTATGTATGCCACTACAATTCTTAAATCTTTCAAACCAACCTTTGCTGGCCTTAATTTCACTCGCATCACCACTAGTTGCAGGCATTTTTCTAATTAAATCATCATGCAACTTCCTAGCCTTTTCACATATGATCACTTGAGAGATGCTATCTGTTTTTCATTTATCCACACCAATAAGTCTCTGAACATCTTCTATCACTTGCGATTTCTGTTTCGAAAACAAAGTTGCACCTTTGGCAAGAATTGCTTCCTTGATGCCGTTTTCTTGGCCACAATAGTAGCAATGGTTGATTGGGATTTTGTTACAATGTGGCCAGCTCGGAGGCACGCACTCCAATTTCATACTTAGCAATGATCTCTTTCTTCATATCCATAGTAATTCTCACCCTTTTTGCTGTAGGGTTGGCACTAGAAGCTTTCTTGGGGCCCATGGTGACTTATTTTGCAGGTGCAATCACTAAAAATGCTGTGATAATATGAAATGTTCCGATTGTATGTTTGGATGCGACCACAGTGGCTGGCTTGTAAACACTGGCACCCACAGGACAAGTGAGGCGTGCTCAGGCCACACATGGATGAGTCTCGAACGAAGCGAATCACGTTGGGCGAGTTTTTTAGCGCTAGCCGAGGCAAAATTTTTGCGTTAAAATGTATCGCTAGGCGGATTTAACGCTATGCGATGCGTTCGTTAGGCGAGGGTCCACTGTATGTAAAAAAAGTAGATCTTTTCTTTTTTTACATTTAAAAAAGTGTAAAAACTTTGATCTACATATTTTTTTTTATATATTTGAAAATATGTAAAAAAAACCAGATCTACTTTTGGAGCATTTTTCTGCATAGAAAAATGTCTAAGCATAGATCTGCTTAGACAGTTTTAGGTTTAATTCATTGTAGATTCAGCTATGCATACTGAGCAAGCTTTTCTACAAAGAAATTATGTGCCAAACAGAATTGAGGTAAGCAGCTGAATGATGCTGAAAGCCTGTGCAGTGAACAGTGCAGCTACTAAAGAGTGCAGATATATACAAGAATGTAAACAAATGACTTATTGATGCTATAGATGTTATATTAACAGATTCTTGCATGTGGTTTATGGAACCTAAATGTAAAAATAAAATGATTTCTTCTCCAGGACACACGTCTTTGGTAGGAGAGTGACCATTGTGGTACAAAAAAATGTACATACACAATTTGTATAAAAACCTACTGCAGCTAATGAATTTGCTATTTAATTAGAAAACTTGGTACTTTTATTATATTGCCTGTTGTGTAGTGTTTTCTTGATAAACTAATATTTATTACTAATACCTGTCTTTTAATTAGTGTTAACATTGTTGTGTGCCCACTATCTCCTAACTTGTATCTTTACATGCTGAGGTAACTCGAATTTTGCCCCAACACTCTTGTTTCTCAGTGAAAAAGATACTGAGTGCTCCTCTTATCTGATAGACTAACCAGCCTGTGGAAGTATTGAGTAAATGTTCTAAGGTTCTCTTGAATGTCTTCAACAATTAGAGGTACTGTACTTGAGATGTCTTTGTATTAAAGTACACAAGATATTCATCTTACAAATGAATTCTTGGTTTTCCAATTTACAAATTGAGGTGTTTGGATAGCAAGCAATAGTACACAATGTTTCACATGCGTTTCTAATACAGCTTAGTGGTTCTGAATTTTAATTAATTCCTAAGTGCCACATTTGTAAGTATGGATGAAGTAACTTGGGTCAGTCTGTATTATTATGTTAAAATGAGTTAATAGTTTTCTACACTAGAAACTTGGATAAAAGTAAATGCTCTCTTATTGTTTTATTGTACCTGTCTTTGACACTGCTTCACCATATATGTTGAAGCTGTAGAAGAGGAAAAGTAATCATGAGAATTGCTATAATGCATATCCATTGTTGAAGCTGATTATTCAAATTCTTATCTTCTGAACTCGCAAAATCATAATAACACAATTGCAAATGAACCACAGCCACACTGGAGGGAGGTTCATCTGTAAAAACTTGCATTTGTGGTCATAGTGGGGGCCATGCTGACCTCCCTATGGTGTTTAAATATACTTAGTTGGATGAATCTTATTGTAGCCAGCTGGCTGAGTGGCTTACACACTGGCCTGGAGTTTTATGATTCACTATCATGGGTTCAAACCACACCTGTACCATGACTTATCTGAAAATTTTAAACCAACCAATTTGAAGCTATTATTATAAAACATTTGATGAAATATTAGAAATAACTTGTAATACCTAAAAAAAAAACTACCTGTTTTAGGACCTCTATACCTCTTTCTGCCTCCCCTTTTCATTTGGAATGTTTATTTTCTATGCTGTTACAGGGTCTGTTCCTTTCCCTCCAATATCTGCCAGTTATATCAGCTGATACAGAGGCAGCAATCTTTTTGGCACATCAAACCATGCACAGAAAAGTTTTATTTATTCTTTAAAACATTATATTGTGTGTGCAAGTTCTGATGAGTCACTAAGAATCTTACCACCAACAACTGAACTGGAAGGCAGGAAATAAAATGTACCTTAGTACTGATACAGGAACCTTTTAACCTGACAGGATGAGAACTGAATTAAAGCTGCCATGATGGGCGAGTACTACAGTACTGCAATTGCAACAGACCCAAGACCTTACTTTATTTTTTATGCAGTAGTATTTAATGGCTAAAAACTGTTATCCTACCTCAGCTCATGTTAAATCCCAGACCTATCCATTGTATACTACCTTCTAGGATGTGATGCAAAAATAACTAATACCTAGGTACCAAATTGCTACTAGGTGAACAGGAGCAGCAGGTGTAAAGAGGCATTCCCATATATTTTGTCCTGCCTGGAAAATGATTTCAGGTCCCTTCAGTTGTGACTTGAGTGTTATATCACCGAGTTGTTTTTCACATAACACTAAACTTTTAATCTGAATGAGAATAAGCCATTATCACATGACTACAACTCAAGAAATGGTTTTAAATTTGTTGAACAACTAATTCATTCTCAGTACTAGCTCTCAATAAGCCATTCTTCCATGGTATAGGGGTATTAACTAAGATAATTGCATTTATATTGCCTGCAAAGGTAGTGAAGCTCCTAGACCAACACAGGGAAAACATTGGACATGTTTCCTTACACCTGCTGCCCCTGTTGACCTACCAGTAAGTAGGTATCTGGGTCACATCCTGTGGGAGAAGATTAAAGGACCCCAGTGGAAATATGACAGTCCCTGATGATGTATGCACTTCATTGGGTTATCCTGGGTGGCTAACCCTCCAGGTTAAAAATTCATACAATATCTCATTCATTAAAATCAAAATTGAAATTAATTTCTTAAATACTGGCTACTGTATAAATTCTTATATAGGTATATGGTGACATTGTGGGCATAGAAAATGAGGATTTCTTTAGAAAATGAAAGGTGTAACAAGGCTAACTGAGCTAGAAAGGGACAAAGAGATCCAATAACTGGTGGTTTCATAGGTATTCAGGTAAATTATTCCTAGTGATTCATCAAAACCTGTACACAGACAATGTATATATTATCTAATTATTGAGATAAATAGTCATTTATTAAAAATCATGGCCACCAATCAGGTCAGCATATTTTTTTATTGATGGCTTGGTACTATTATACTAGTATCCTGTCAAACACAGAAGCACCTCAACTTATGATGTTAATGTGTTCCTAAAAATTCAGTAAGTTGATTGTTCATTACTCGGATCATATTTTACCATAAAAAAAATATAGAATGAATGTGTTTCGGATTCCAAAGTGTTTTCCATTTTGAATTTTAGTTCATTTTTCCACACAAGATATTTGTACCCAATCTTTTACCTTTAATACGCTTTATAATAGCAAATAAATCATCTCAAATGTCATAGATTTCCTTTTCCATTGCAATTGGTTATCTTGCGTTTTCCAGTTATGATGAACGATTGTTTTTAAAGTAAATTCACAACAAATATATAACAAACATATGGAGATGAGAGTAAACAGAGCATTGATAAGTTGTTTATTTTTGGCCACAAGCCAAAACAGCACCTGTGAATGCTCCTCCACTTACTTCAGTACCTACCATCGAAAGTATGAATCATTTGTTCTTGAGAAATTAATTGGGTCCAAAATGCCAATGTCATAAGTGTGAAACCATGCAAAATATTTTGTGATAAACACAATGAATAAGGCATAAGATCCTCCCGTAAAGGAACTGTAGGCGACATGAGTGGCAGTGCCTCTCCAAATACTCAACCTTTAAGCTCATCTTGGGTCAGAGGAGAAAAATTTTCATGATTTGGAGAACCAAGGTTCTGTAAATAGCTTGATGCTTTCATGCCTATGGAGTGTACTGTCAAGACTTTTTCAAGTGCTAGGCAAAAAAAAAAAAAAAACTTTTTTAATGTTTAGACAAAAATCTCACTATGTAATGTCAATTTATAAAAAAGGTTTATTGTATTAATATTGTTATTACAATATTATGTAGAAATTGTTCTCCAAGAGTCACTCAAAATTTCAATTTCTCTCTTTGCAGTCGGAGAATTATGACAGCGTGTTGGGTTTCAACCTTGCCTCCTATCGGGCATGCAAGTGCCTTTGGAAATCCTGTGTTGAGCATCACACATTCTTCCGACTACACACGCCCAGAACTCCTGCAAGAAAGTAAGTGAGCAGCTCATTCTTAGATATTTTAATTTTTTAAGCAAAATATAATTGGACATATGAACTGTCATATCTGTGCACATCTGGCAAGACAGTGATAGTATGTATGATGGTGAAAGTGTTTCTTTTTCGGGTCACCCTGCCTTGGTGGGAAACGGCTATTGTGTTTTAAAAAAAAAAAGTAATCGATTTATTTTGATACTTTGCTATGCAGCTCATACCTATCCTATGAGTAGTAGTCAAAATACAATGATCTTTACAAATTCATGGGTCTACATTCCTAGAGGTCACAGTGAATAAGCAATGACAAATTCCACCAAATTCTATAATTGATTTATTTTCAATTTGGCCTTATTCATTACAAGTATAGTACAAAGTATACAAAATAATAAGATACTGTACAACTCAGCTTTGATGATAATTCTGTTTCTGAGATGTTGGTTATGGTAGAGGGAAGGTGCTGGCTCAGATGCTGTATATGGTGACTGAGGGGTTAGCTATGATGGCTGAGTTATTAGTGGCTGAGGTGTTAGCTGTGATGGATGAAGTACTAGATGTGATGACTCTGGTGAGTGTTATCTCTGCCATCAGTTGTGATTTGACAGTGGTCCATGACAGCTCGATATGTCATCATGAGGCTCCTCTTCCATGTGTGGGTTATTTGTGAAATGCATTGCATAGCCCTTACCAGGCCTGGCCTTTTTCATACACATGCAGAATTTGTTCTTTCTTCATAATTAACATTGTTTCTTTGCACTATCAGTACTAAAACACCCATCACTTGACTTTGAATTCTTGTTGTGAACTATTAAGAGGACAGAAGACACAATTAATAATAAGATAGGTGAAAAGCAATGATGACACATAATACAGGATATAAAAATGAGAACACCTAAATTTTTATTAAAGGATCAGTATTGTTCATTCAATTTAATTATTGAAAGTTTTGATCTTAATTTATTACAGAGTATTCGAGTTTCTGGAGAATGACATAGAAGTGTATTATAACGAGATTGTGCTGTGTGGTGTCTTACAGTTCTGTATATAACACTTATACTCTACATAGCTTGTTTGAAAAGCTGGTGCATCTCTTGTTTTATTCCAGAAATCTCTTGACTTTGGGCAGCAAATTTCGTTACAGTGGACGCACAGAGTTTCAGACTGTGGAAGACTGCAAAAGAAGGGCAAGAGTTGAACGTACATTTGTTCGGTAAGTTAAAACCATACTTTAGCTGTTACAAATCTTTTTTTGTTATAGAGTATGTTATGTATAATATTGAATAATTGTGTGAATTCACTTGTTTTGAGTTGAAGTTGGATTGTGATAAGGATGTATGATGTTACTCTGGTTATTATCTTGAGTGATGGCACTGTTATTAGGATTCCAGTGAATAATTTAGGATAGAAAGGTGATTAAAAACTATAAGCCACAGGAGTGGACTCAGGAGTTATGGGCTAAAGCTTAACTGAAAGTCAATTAAATTTTTTGTGACACACAGGTCGCCGTCCAAAAGGTTTGCACGCCAGACTGTGCCAACCCCAAGTGATTTAGGCCGTAAAGCTAGATCGGGCTCAGGATCTTCTCTACGGCCTCGGACAGACTCCTCAGGATACAAAGTTACTTCCCTCCAAGGTGCAAAAACTCCCAAGATGGCATGGGGTGAAGCACAAACACCTGAAGAGTGAGTATTAGCTCATATGATGCATTATTTAAGCTATTTAGCATTTTTTATTTGCATGTACAGTACAGTGAACCCCCAGTTATCGTAATTAATCTGTTCCAGAAAGAGTGACTAAACCTGAATCTGACGCTATCCGAATTCATTTTCCCCATAAGAAATAATGTAAATCCAATTAATCTGTTCCAGACACCCAAAAGTATTAAAAAAAAAAATTTTTTTTTACATGACATATACATTTACCTACACACAAAGCAGTGAGACATGCAGAATAAAACAATAATAAAATGACACTTTATCTTTATTGAAGACTTATTGATGTATGGAAGAGGGAAGGAGGGGAGAGGATGGAGGAGTTACTATTGTTTGGAAGGGGAGTCCCCTTCCATAAAGACTTAGGTATCAAGTCCTTTTCCAGGGTTTCTTCCCTTCTTTGTTTTTTAATCCTTTCAGGGTTTCAGCCGTACTAGTACGGCTTACGCACCAGGGTTTTTGACGTACTAGTATGCCTAAATTCTAGAGCCCTCAAATCTAGTGAGAGAAAGCTGGTATGCCTACATATGAAAGAATGGGTCTATATGGTCAGTGTGCGCAGTATAAAAAAAATCCTGCAGCACACAGTGCGTAATGAGAAAAAAAAACTGACCGTGTTTTTGGATTAAAACAGCGACTTTGCACTCTATTTTCGTATGGTATTTATTGTTGTATTCTAGTTTTGCTGGTCTCATTTTATAGAATGGAAGACATATTACAGAAATTGAGATGATTTTGACTGATTTTACAATGAAAAGTACCTTGAAATTGAGCTCAAAGTAGCAGAAATGTTCGATTTTTACCAGAGATCAAAAGTAAACAAATCATGCCAAGCGTCCAATACACGTCAACTGGTGAGTCTAATATTCTTTCACAAGTGCAGTGATATTATTTATACCATTTCTACACTAATGCAGTAGTCTGCATAACAGTAAATCTTCTATTTTTTGTGAGAATAAAAATTCAAAGTGGAAAGCAAAAGAATGTAAGAGGGGCATGGGGACATGACTAATGAACAGAGGAAATGTGATTTTAGTGCCAGGAATGTCTTTCTTGTTTATTCTGGACTCTATTCGGAAATAGGCATCTTTTGAAATTTGTGTCAAATTGGCAAAATTGCTAAATTCTGACCACTGTATTGGATAGTTGAAATCGGTAAATGGGTGGTTTCTTGTACTCGTTCGATAGCAAAAATGGATTTGGCTGAAAATAGGGCTCAAAGTGGGCAAAATCGCTGATGCGTAAACATCGTCGAGACCGCTAACTTCACAAGAGCATATTTCATACTTTGGTGTCATTATGATCGGGAAAAAATTCTCTTATCTTTTCATAATTTTTTTTTTTTTTTTTTTTTTAAATTTGGGCGACCCTGAGAACAAGTCTCGGAGAGGGCCTGTCGACCCTGAGAGGGTTAATGCTACTAGGACCAGCTTGAGAGTCACTGGACCCCTGTCGCTCAAAAAAGTGTTCCAGAGAGGTATGTATCTGGTGTTTCTTTAAAATTTGCCTAAAACAGGACACGACATTGTCATTGTACATGTTGCCAACACGCCTTGCAACAGCTTTGTCAGGGTGATGTTCATCCATAAATGTTTGCACCTCACTCCACTTTGCACAGATGTCCTTAATCTTTGAAGAAGGCACCTTCCTCCATCTCTCTTCCTCCTCCTCCGAAGCAATTTCCTGAGCTGTGGTCTGTTGCTGTTGCAGTTGAAGGCCTTGCAGCTCTTCAGTGGTTAGCTCTTCATTGTGGTCCTCAACTAACTCTTCCATATCCTTGCAACTCACGTCCAACCCCATGGAATTCCCCAGTGTCACAATACTATCCACAATTGCCACAGGCTCATCAGGGTCAGCCCTAAACCCTTCAAAATCCCTCTCTCGGACACATTCTGGCCACAGTTTTCTCCAAGCAGAGTTCAAAGTCCTGGAAGACACTCCCTCCCAAGCCTTACCTATAAGGTTTATGCAGTGGAGGATACTGAAGTGATCTTTCCAGAACTCTCTTAGGATCAAGTGAGTATCTGAGGTCACATCAAAGCACCTTTGAACCATTGTGTACAGTTTTTTGAAGTTTGAAATGACCTGCTGGTCCATGGGCTGGATGAGATGAGTGGTATTAGGGGGCAAGAACTTCACTGTCATGAAATGAAACTCCTTCACCATTTGCTCTTCCAAGTCTGGAGGATGAGCAGGAGCATTGTCCATTACCAGGAGGCACTTGAGTTCCAATTTATTTTCCAGGAGGTATTTCTTCACACTGGGGCCAGACACTTCATTGAACCAATCAAGGAAAATGTCCCTTGTGACCCATGCCTTACTGTTTCCCTTCCACATCACGCACAATTTACTCTTGGCGACACTTTTTTTTAAACACTGGGATTTTCAGTGATATACCAGTAAAGGCTTCACTTTGAAATCCCCACTAGCATTACTACAGAACATGAGAGTTAGCCTATCTTTCATAGGCTTGCATCCTGGGGGTGCCTTTTCCTCGAGCATGATGTAGGTCCTCTTTGGCATTTTCTTCCAAAAGAGGCCTGTTTCGTTACAATTGAACACTTATTGGAGTTTGAACTGTTCAGCCTCTTTGTATGACTTGAATTCCTGAACATATTTTTCAGCTGCATATTTGTCAAAACTTGCAGCCTCACCATGCCTTATCACACTGTGTATGCCACTATGCATCTTAAACCTCTCAAACCAGCCTTTGCTGGCCTTAAATTCACTAACATCAGCACTAGTTCCAGGCATTTTCTTTAGGAGATCATTAGGCAACTGCCTTGCCTTTTCACAAATTATCGACTGAATAACACTATCTCCTGATAATTGTTCTCGTTGATCCACACCAATAACAGTCTCCATATCTTCCAGTATTTGTGATCTTTGTTTTATGAGCATATTTGCACCTTTCGCAACAACAGCTTCCTTGATTTCCTTTTTCTTGGCCACGATGGAAGCGATAGTTGTAAGGGGTTTGTTATACAACCTGGCAAGCTCTGCCACACGTACACCACTTTCATATTTTGCAGTGATCTCTCTCTTGAATTCTATAGTGTTTCTCACCTTCTTTACCAAAGGGCTGGCACTAGAAGCTTTCTTTGGGCCCATAGTGGCTTATTTAGCAGTTGCAAGCACTAACAAGAATGGAACAATACGAAATGTGTTGTATGAGTGCGTGGGATCGTGCTCACTGGCTGATAAACAATGGCACACTGGCTGTAAATGGTGTCAGGCTGCTGTTGCTGCGTGAACACGTTTGGGATGAATGACTATTACCAAGCTCAATGCCGATCACTGAGCCAATATTTTGAGAAAAAAATTACGATTTCCGAATAATACGAGATCCGACGACTACAATATCCGGGGGTCCACTGTATTGTAGTTTACTTGTATGTATATTGTAAATCCAGTGGAACCATGGTCTATTCATATAGCAGCCCCAGTGAATGGACCAGAGCTTGATTCCTCATCCATTCTTCTCTTTCATCACTGACAATCATTCATTATTACACATTCTGAATTTATGTATTATTGGTTTTGAGGAGTATGAGAACAGATGTACATACCATGAAATCTCCTGAGGCTCACTACTGTGACAGTAGTGTCACAGCTGGTGCTGCTATTTGCATAGATTATGGTTTAAATCTGTTTATTCATTGACAGTTGTTCATTACGACTTAAGTTTATTATGTTAAAACCTGAAGCAGATCTTAATAATGAAATGATCTATGGTGAGAATTGCTGAGGAGGATGATGCTGTCTATGGGCACAGATGCAATATGGGATAGCCAATGGCCCTATGGCAGATGATAGCAGCAGCAGTTGCTGGCTTACTAGTACTAGAGGCTCTGAATGACCCTCAGCTGTAATGGATCAGAGAAAAGTGGCAAGCATTATCTCCAGTGCTGAGAGGAAGTCTGATATTTACAAGTTTCACATGTTGACTGATGGTACTGCCTCCAGCTATGTCCAGAACACTTCCTGACAGCCCAGTGTAGCATGGACTCTACTTCCTGGTGGGTATATTAAGGTTGGCAGCTATCGGGTGCTGTATTGACCTGGGATTACCAGCTGCACACAACCTTACTTAAAGGTGTGTGTAACCAACTCATCTGTAATGGGTACCCATCACATTATAGAAGGCATCTGGGCCCCTCAATTGATCAGGATCCTGCTCTGACCATTTCCACTTACAGCTGATATGCCAGGTTTGCAATTGGTATAAGTCCCACCATATTCAGAACCTTCACTTCTAAGGCCATCTCCATGGACAGCCAACTCATCATCATCTTGCATACAGCACAGAGTCAGAGATGGCAAATCCCCTCTTATGAATTTCTTAGAGGTCTGTGACAGAGGAACAGAAATAAAAGAGATGGATGGATAGACTGCCTTTTCCTAGACTGTAAGAAAACATTTGACACAGTACCACACAGGAGGCTGATATACAAACTAGAAGAGCAGGCAGGGGTAACATGGAAGGTACTCAATTAGATATATTAATACCTGGAGGATAGAAAGTAGAGGGTATTGATAACAAAGGAGCTATCAGAATTGGCAAGGGTGATGAGTGGAGGGCCCCAACAATCAGTGCTTGAACTTCTGCTGTTACTGATATAATAAATACATGACGTGTTGAAGCAAGGTGAATCTTATATTCACTGTTTATGGATAATGTGAGAGGAATAAAGAAGATAACCATAGAGAACAAACTGATGCTCCAAAGTGAGTTTAATGGGCTAAAAATGTTGTCAGGGCAGTAACTATGACAAGTTTCACCTAATAAGTGCAGAGTAATGAGAGTAGCACAAGGGCAAGAAGACTGGACACTGAATAATGCTTTGGAAGTGAAATGCTGCAAACAGTACACAGAGAGATAGTGTTGGTCTTTTTTTTTTTTAACCAAGCCACTTGAAACCCACTCTTCACCTGCAGCATCCTTCCAAAATTCATTCTTTTTATTTTCA